GTACAGGCCCGTTTAAAGTTTGCCAAAGAACATCTAATCAGAGAAGGCTTGGGAGAAAGTGCTGTGGTCAGATGAGACACTCGCCGTGTTTGGAGAGAGAGAAATGCTGACTATGACCCGAGAACACCATCTCTACAGTCAAGCACGGAGCTGGAAACATTACGCTTTGGGGCTGTTTTTCTGCTAAAGGTACAGACGACTTCACCACATTGAGGGGCCATGTACTGTAAAATCTTGGACGAGAACCTCCTTCCCTCAGCCAGAACACTGAAGGATCTTAAGGCAGTTAGGACCACAGTCACCAAGCAAACCAATGGTAACACACTACACCGCAATGGACTGAAACCCTGCAGCGCCCGCAAGCTCCCCCTGCTCAAGAAGGCACATGTACAGCCCGTTTAAAGTTTGCCAAAGAACATCTAATCAGAGAAGGCTTGGGAGAAAGTGCTGTGGTCAGATGAGACACTCGCCGTGTTTGGAGAGAGAGAAATGCTGACTATGACCCGAGAACACCATCTCTACAGTCAAGCACGGAGCTGGAAACATTACGCTTTGGGGCTGTTTTTCTGCTAAAGGTACAGACGACTTCACCACATTGAGGGGCCATGTACTGTAAAATCTTGGAATTCTGTCTCTATACGTTAAAATAAACCTACCATAAAAATTACAGACCCTTCATTTCTTTGTAAGTGGGCAAACTTACAAAATCAGCAGGGGATCAAATAAATATTTTCCTCACTGTACACTATGCATACTATAAACTATAACCTTTACACACTACACTACTACACACTAAACTATATACAATATTTACACTATACTCTTGCTATAAACTATATACATTGCATACTATACACTGTATAACTTTTACACTCTACACTATATATATTTTAAACTATATACACTATGCAAACTACATAGTGTACACTTTACACTATATACACAATGCATACTATATACACTTTACATACTCTACACTATATACACTTAAGGCTATTTATATTGTACACTATAAACTCTACACTCTATAGTACATTCACTACACACACCAGACACTCTATGCAGTATACACCACATGCACTGCCGCACACTGTAGACTTCTAGAGTGCGTTTTACACTTAACTCTTGCTTTACACTATATACACAATGCATACTATATACACTTTACATACTCTACACTATATACACTTAAGGCTATTTATATCGTACACTATAAACTCTACACTCTATAGTACATTCACTACACACACCAGACACTCTATGCAGTATACACCACATGCACTGCCGCACACTGTAGACTTCTAGAGTGCGTGCACATGTTTGTGGAGGTTATTAGCTGGTGGAGAAGCTTCATCAGCGTAGCGTGACGGTGTTCCTCGTCTCCGGTGGTTTCCGCTGCATCGTTGCACACGTGCCATCGCAGCTCAGCATCCCTCCATCACATCTATTTTTTTTTTGTTTGTTTCTTTAATTTTTGGATGAGTAGACACATTTCGTCATGTCTTTTCAGACACCTATGTTTAATTTCCTTAAATATGCTATTTTTAAACATTTAGTCAAGCAATAATATATTCATTATCTCATAGTATGTGTGAAAGGGATTAAAAATGAATTGGTTCTGATTAAAAACGGTGGCCTATTTTGTTTTTTTTTTACTGGTCAGAACGAAATAAAACATAGCTGCTCCATTTATTCAGAAACAAAAGTAGTGTAAAATGCTATTTGTGTATTTAGATTTTCACTATATTAGTCTCCAGCAAACGTTAATCGTCAGACAGAAGAGCTGCAGAGACATTAAAGGCATTGTAACCTCCTTATCCATTGACACAGAATTATATAGACTGAATTAAACTCCATCTCTTGTCATATTTGATTTTTTTTTTAATGAAAATTTTTGTTATGAAGAATAGCTTATTTGTTGTGAAGTAGATTTCAATATGATTTAGTTAAAAGTTAAGAGAAAGAAAAAGAATTAGCCTGTAGTCTATAGATTCTTTATTTCTTAACTTTTGTTAGACTGCAGATCGAAATAAAATAATTCTTGATAATGTCGTTAAAATGAGAGAAATCGCTGACGTACGTTCAGGCTGTTTTACTTTTCCCGACTGCAGAAAAAAAGTCTAAAACCTTTTAACTTGCAAAGTTAATTTATGAAATAAAATAAAGACAAGAAATGTGTAACCAAGAACAATATTTGACACGATTACAGAATGAAGCTGAATGATGTTTGACAGCATGTGCAATCGCTGGCGTCCGTCGCGAATATTAAACATGTTTTCTTTGTGAAAACGGCTGGTTCTTCAATTCTAAGATTATAATCTGTAGACACCACACACTATGAGATATTTCTGCCCAACTGGAACAGACCGGGGGCATGTTTCATAAAATAAGTTTATTTGAGTTCGTCTGAGTTCTGCTGCTGCACTTCACCTGCTAGCAGACCGCTTTGAGTCGTGTTTAGTCTGACTAGCTATTAAAACCCTTTGAGAGCTGCTGTCGGGTCTCTTTCAGAGCGCTTTCATTGGGCTTCGGAGAGCTGGAGAAGATCTAGTGATGACGAGTTTAGCAGACTGTGCTCATGCACTAGCTTTGTGCCTTTCCTAGTTTCACCTAATGCACGTTTGTGTGTTTTTAGAGTTTAACCAGTTTGCTGTGATGTACTGTACAGTTAGCGTTTTAACTGTAAGAACTCTTGACTCATGTTTGGAGGTCAAACCTTCGAGAGAACACTATAGTATGCCTTCATAGTGATTAACTGTCCACTTCAGTATGCATATTTGAAAAAGAGCATTTTTAATATTGGTTAAGAAGTAATAAAGTAGCAGCTGTTGTGTGTCTTATATCGGTGTAAACATGACACAGTGTGGTAGAATGATGATTTATGATTTATTACAGTATTGTATTGATGCGAGACCTCTCCGTGGGATCAGTGTACAGTCGACGGAGCACGCTGCGATCACACACAAAACTAATTCAGTCTGTCAGAGAGCCGCTTCATCCAGAAACTGCAGACGTTTCACAACACACGGAAAAAGGCATTTAAAAAGCACGTCTATGTAGAAACAGAATAAAAATGCAGCAACTAAATAAAAACGATTTCTAAAAAAACAAAGTAATTTTGCACTCGACCGGTCCCCAGCGAGGCTCGTGCAGCGTGGTTTCACAGGTTTGATCTGAATATGTAGGATGCATTCTGCTGTGTTACACAAACATGAAATCCTCTCCGTGTGGGGTTTATATTTACAGCTTATACATATGCAATAAATACATGAGCACATTTACAGTGCTTTCTCAGCAGGGAGAACAGTAAATGTGTGTTTACACTTCCAAGGTCTATGTAGAAACAGAATAAAAATGCAGCAACTAAATAAAAACGATTTCTAAAAAAACAAAAAGTAATTTTGCACTCGACCGGTCCCCAGCGAGGCTCGTGCAGCGTGGTTTCACAGGTTTGATCTGAATATGTAGGATGCATTCTGCTGTGTTACACAAACATGAAATCCTCTCCGTGTGGGGTTTATATTTACAGCTTATACATATGCAATAAATACATGAGCACATTTACAGTGCTTTCTCAGCAGGGAGAACAGTAAATGTGTGTTTATACTTCTAAGGCATTCATAGATGCTGTTTGTTTTGAAATATGATGAATCAAAGATGTATCGCCCACCAAACTAAAAAGGGTTCAAGACTTGTGGTGATTCAATGCACTTTCTTTTATATCCTTTACATCTTCCAACGCTACTTTATTTTACAGATTGACGTAACCAGCAGATTTCAGATATGTCTCAAACCTTACAGATTCAGTTTGGTTTGCTGGTGCAATGTTTCGAGAGGCTCTGCGGTCAGGAGGAGTGTTGTGTTGCCGATGGTTGGCATCATGAGTTAATCAGGGCAGTGAAAGCGTCTGGTGTTGTGCTCGTGGGGACGTGTCGGGACGCATTACTGGAGCGGAGACGCTTTGAGCGGGATCATGATCCTGGACTCCATGTGCTGGATGAGCGGCACTGAAAACAACACAGAACTTAGGACTAACCTTGTGTCAAAATATAACAGCAGCGATAACACATCATAATACTGGCACTGAATCTGACTCTTCATGCTGTTTTAGAGCAGCAACAGTCACTTCCAGAACTGCTCTGGTCTATACAGTCAGGTCCATATATATTTGGACAGAGGCACAATTTGTATTATTTTACCTGCTGAGCAAAACATATTCAAGTTACAGTTATATAATGAATATGGGCTTAAAGTGCACACCCTTAGCTTTAATTTGAGGGTATTATCACAACTAGAGGAAAGGTTAAGGAATTACAGCCCTCCCCCCTTTATCAAGGACCATAGGTAATTGGACAGTTGACTCAAAAGCTGTTTCATGGACAGATGTGGGCTATTCCTTCATTATTTCTACATCAGTTAAGCAGGTAAAAAGGTCTGGAGCTGATTCTAAGTGTGCCATTTGCATTTGGCTATCATGCCGATCACTGACTAATGAACAAAAACGACATGTTAGCAGACCAGAGACAGACTTCTGGAAGTGGTCAGAAGTGAACAGTATTAGACCTACAGTTCACTTCTGACTCTTTCCTGAAGGCAGTGATGATAACTGGAGCGGTGTAGCTGTGGCGTGTGTTTACCGGTGTAATAGACCACTTCATCCCAGCCCTCGTGCTGCCAGGCGGCGTTCCTCGTGTCCTCTCTGGACTGCAGGTCCTTATACGCTGAAACAGATGGACACAACTACACACATCAGAGGCGCCAATTACTGTTTGATTACTTGGTAATCTTGGTGAAGAAAATAAGTGTAAAATGTGCTCCGCTTATCCACCAAAGACTCCTCTGCCTCAAAACACAGACTGAAGACTCCTGATATTTAACATATATAACACCGTCTGTGCTGAGCTTCTCAACATCTCGTGATAAACACGTGTAAACATGCTGCAGACACACGAGAGATGCTGCTGGTACTGCGGGAAGAGAGCTGAACTGATCTGAAGAAGCACACTACTGTCTTCATCAGGGCTCAATCTGGGTTGGCCTCGTATTTGCAGGGGTTAAAGCAAAAACAATCCTGAGCCTGAACTTTTTTCCGGGGGTTGGGGGGTGGACACATACACAGGGTTATTTGGCAAACAATAAAAAAAACATTATTTGAAAATGATTTCGCTTGAAACTAACTAGTAATGTATCTGCCCTTGCCATTAGCCCTTGACAGGCTCAGACTACAGATTATGGAGGGATATCTGAAACAGCAATACCAGGAAAGCTTACTCACTACAATATGGTGCAAACACATGTAACATTTAGGATGCTTCTGATATCAAGTTTTGCTGGTTAGCTTTGCCCTTGACCAGGTACAAGATGACCTACAATCTAAAACATGACATTTCTGAAATTGTTTTGTTCAAAAGAAATAATGGTAAATTAAATACTAGGAAATGAATATAAAATAGGAAATATACAAGTTTACTACAGAAAACTACAGTTTGGTTCAGTTAACAACAACAAAATAAAATGCTCCGAGGACTGGTAACTTAAACAGGGTTCGTACAGATACTGCAAAATAACATTCCAGGACTTTTCAAGCACTACTCTTTTGGTTTTCAAGGACTAAAATCAGATCTCACTTATCAGTTATCAAAAAATATTGTTACTGTCTTTCAAATTCTAATATATAAACTAATAAAACAAATGGTACAAATAAAGTGCAGCACATGAAAAGAATGCAGTGGCTGTGGCAACTCTATAAGAAATTTTCAATGACAAAATATTTGTCTTTTAATTACAAAAAGTACAACAATGCAATTGTAGAAATATTTTAACAAATCTAGGGTTTAACTAACTATTATTTTGCAAATCAAGTAATCTACTGATTATTTTGACAAGTATGTTTTAGTAACACGAATAGAACTAAGTGAAAAACAGGCTTTAATATGACTGTATTTATATATAAACTAACGATGAGGCAATAATAATTGGCCTCAAATAAAGTATCAAAACCAAGTACATGGTTTTATTGAACATCTGTTAAATACATAATCTAATATGCCTATATTATAACAAATAATAAAACGGCCTGGTGATGTTTCATGTGATTCAACGACGTTTAAATCCATTTAATTGCAATATTTGGCCACATGCAAAGTGAGAAACCTTTATTTTGAAATCGCGATCTACAATAAATCGCGTATTTAGAAATATGTTGATGTATTCTGTATTGGCATAGGTTTATAAATGACTTAAGTTACAAATTAAGTGAGATACGCACAGTTTTCCGCAGATGAACGTTAAGCAACCCAAACTCACCGCAGACGCAGAGGAAGAGTTCAGCCCCTTTCACACATACAGTCTTCGCTGGTGAATTACCGTTAATAGATCATGTGTGAACAGGACCTTTTCAAAACTACGGGTAAATTTGTTCTGGCAATCATATCGTTCTTATGGAGATGATGTGATTACTCTGAGCTGTTTACAAAGCTCCGTTAATTATATAGAAGATAGCTTTTCTATATAGATATGGCTCTAGATGGAAATCTTTGACCGTTGCGCCTCGCAGCTTTTTCACAATGTGTCGCGCTCATCAGCTGTGACTCTGCAGCTGCATACTATTATGCGCGTCTCATGTTTATAGGACCAAAAATGTCTGATTGGCTAGTAATGTTAGTTTGGTTGAGAGTGAAAGCTGTGCTCCTCTCATACATTAGTAGGCGAACTCATGGACTCGAACGTGATATCAACAAGTACCATCTTATTGTCCCGCAGCTAAACGCCACACGCCGGAGAACTTTAAGCCCTGTATTTGATTAAGTTTGCATCATCGATTCTGTTATTTTCCTGTTTATTAATGCGCAGCTGCTTTGAAACAGTCTGTAACCGTGACTTGATGAAATGTTTCTGGTGGCACGTGTTCATTCTCACCCCAGAGATGATGCACCATGTAGAGGTCTCCTATCTGAGAGAAGAAGCCTCCGACTGCCTCGCGGTTGTGCTGCCGGTAGCTGATGGCTCTCGCCCTGAGGAACAGCATCACACACTTCACTCAGCGCTTTATAAAGAGCGAGACACATCACTGAGGAAACGCCTGACTATGCACTAGGCTTTTATCTAAAGTGACTTGCATTCAAGCTTTCTGAAGCTACTGGAAGAGTGAAGTGATATATCAGAGAACCATATATTAGTGAAATTCAGTTTGTAAACACTGTGCACTGATGCAAATTAACTCTGGCACAACACTTGTGTTCTGCATTGCAATAAAATTTGATTTTAACACACGTTTTTGTTGCATTCAATAATGAGCTTGAAAACATGACAGTACATAACAGCAGTGCATGCATGTAAAACCCTTCATTTCAATGAGTTAAACTGCTTTGAGCTGTAAACATACATTTCATTCAAACGTCCAAGTTTATTCAGCTGTGTTATGTATTGTTTGCACTCTTACCAATAGTTGCCCCATTCAATCATGGTGCCGGGCTGCAAGAAACGAGACAAACAACAGCTGTAAATCTGAATTCATTCAAAAAGCTTCAGCAAGCCTGTAGGACCAGTGACATTTAACACTTTTGGTTTATTCAGTTGGATTCTGCTGGTAATATAAGGAGGAAGCAACATGAGAAAAGTGCTAAGCTGAAGAGTGTGTCATTATTGAGAGGCACTGGTAAGTTCAGTGAATCAAAACACGTGACCTCGTGACCCTGCACACTCACTCTCAGCTGGTAGGAGCGCAGCTCGTAGATGTTGGGTCCGTCTCTGGGCACCGGCTCGTTCTAAAATATGAGACACTAATGTCTCAGGAGTTTAGGACACAGAATATTCATTAACTGTTTTATTTCCTATTTGGGTTTATGTTAGGGATGCACAATATTGGATTTTTGCTGATATCCGATATGCCGATAATTTTTAACTCATTATGGCCGATACTGATTTATAATTATTTTTTACTTTTTCGTTAGTTTTTAACAAGAACTTATTTGTTAGAATTAAATAAACAATAATAAAGTTCTTTTTATAATTACAGTACATTGAAGATTTGAAAATAATTATAAATAAACTCCCTGCAGCACAAAAGCAGTGTTAAGACGCTGGGGTATATTTGTAGCAATAGCCAACAATACATTGTATGGGTCAAAATTATAGATTTCTCTTTTATGCCAAAAATCATTAGGATATTAAGTAAAGATCATGTTCCATGAAGATATTTTGTAAATTTCCTACCGTAAATATATCAAAACTTAATTTTTGATTAGTAATATGCATTGCTAAGAACTTCATTTGGACAACTTTAAAGATGATTTTCTCAATATTTAGATTTTTTTGCACCCTCAGATTCCAGATTTTCAAATAGTTGTATCTCAGCCAAATATTGTCCTATCCTAACAAACCATACATCAATGGAAAGATTATTTAGTCAGCTCTCAGATGATGTGAATCGTCTCTTATGACTGGTTTTGTGCTCCAGGGTATATGCTGCATTGCATGATAAGACCAAACACACGCTTATGTCCTCAGAAACACAGTCACAGTACAGTATTAACTGAGGCTGTGTATGTCAGATGATCATGTGTTTCTGATATTCTGCATGCATCATTCATCAATCACATCGATAACCATGACAGCCTTTTATTAATCCGTGCATGCAAGCTAAAGCTCTTCATACTGTCTTCACCATAACCTGAGTTATGAGTTATGACCTTGAGCAGCGCGTGCGCACGCCTTTGATTCCCGCAGCAAACATGACGCAGACTCTTTACAATCAGCACAGTAATAAAGTGTCTGTAAGTTATATATCTGCTAGCAGTAGTACTAGTAGTCTTTATCTAATGCGCCACGGCGTGTAGAAACTCTCGTGTCTCGCTAAAGCACAACGCTCGCACATTTATAACGCTTATCGAGATCAAACCTGATAACAGCGGTAAGGTGTCCGTGCTTCGCCCGATAAAGGCCTGAGCAGGAGCTCTGAAGGACTCTGGTCGCCATCTTCCAGCGAGATAGGACACAAGCAGCAGGCGAGGAAGGAGTTAAGGGCTGCAGTTCTCCGGCGCTGCCGCTGGGGGCGCTACACACCTCTGTTGCGGGAATTATATACAGTATATATCACTCGTAACTCATTCTATTATTTATTTATTTTTTTCCTCTGCTAGACTGGTCAGAACTTTTTGTAGTCGGTTATTGGTCTAATTTGAATCCAAAAAGTAAGACTGATTACCACTTGATTAAATGCTAGTTAGTCAAACTATAAGACAGTCTTAACCAGTGTTGAGCAGTAATTATTTACAGCAATAATATTACTTTTTGCAGTAACGAGTAGTGTAACTAATTACTAACAAGGTTTCAGTAATAATATTACAGTTAGCATCCATAAAACAGCTAGTTACTTGGTTGCTTTTGATGCCTCTCAACCCCTACTTGATTTGATGTCCAACAATCCAATAATTCCTAGATTTATTTTCATAATTTTCACGACTCATGAACACATGAAGTCAGCAGAGCAGCAGGGAAGCTTGGAATATGGAAAAGCTTACATTCAGCGGATGGAAATATTGGCATTACATTGATTTTGTGAGGAGAAAAGATGATCTGGGATTACTTGACTCTGATATAAATTGTATACAATCTTTTTTAAAAAAAAAAAAACATTTTCTTATGAGCTTATGTGATTTCTTTTGATTAAATACATCATGGAATATAATCGTATATGGGTAACAGAGAAATTATACAATTAGCTACAATTAGCTTCAAGCTACACAATTAATGTGAATAATGCAACACTTTTACTGAAATGTCACTATTAATCACCACTGAGTGTTTGTAATCACTTCTGACTGCGATCCAATGTGGATTTTGGTCAAACGATGAGGCAGAAATATATTAGTAACATTTTTGAATAATTTTATGGGGAAGATATGCAATTACAACTTCTGTGGGGCGTGAAGGAAAAGTAATGTAACTAGTAGTGTAACTAATTACTGCTGCCAGAAAGCAATACGTAAAGTAATAATATTACTTTTGAAAGGAGTGACTAGTAACAGATTACATGTTTTGAGTAACTAGACCAACACTGGTCTTAACATGTGACTGGAGCCTGTTTACTCTTAAACAACTAAAGCCTGCTTCAGCTCTTATGAAGCCTCCTCAAGATTAATCTATTTAAACTGTATGTGTATATACCCCCCAGTGTAAGCTTTTGAATAAATAAATAAATACAAATAATTACGCTGGCAACAATGACATTTGCAGTAAACACACACTTTGTGCTCAACATTTGCCAAAAATGCAAAATAACAGGCCTTCTTAAGAAAGAAAGTCATTTCCAAAAGCACAAACATAAAATAACTTTTGAAAAGTTATAAAAAGTTGAAATTGCTGTATACAGTATAATCAGTCTGTTAAAATACAAGCATTAAATACAGTTAGAAAATGTTAAAAATTGTTAAATTCAATTTCTCATATTTTTATTTTTCGTAAAGTCATAATTTATATAATCAAATAGTTTTAAACTCTGTGCTGTTTGCAATGTATAATGTGATTTTTTTAGTGAGTTGAATTAAAACCAGACCAAAAATCATATTAGTCAAATCAAACATCAAAATAGTTATATAATAATAGTATACAGAACCCACAACGATTAAAAAAAAATGTGTGTGTGTGTGTGTGTGTGTTTTAATGAATAGATTTAAATTATATTTTCACCACTGAAGAAATCTGGTCATCTTATCATAATATAATTAGCAGAAAATAAATCACAGATACACAACTGATTATTTAATATACGTTTCCCTTACAGTATTTACCATTATTTCATATGTTACACCATGTTTACACTTGACCTCTTCAACCTCAATATTTTGATGCAATAAAGGAGAACAAATGACAGATATTTGAAGTGTAAGAGTATCTCTGATACAAGGTGACATGATATTTGCTAATAAACAAGTCATTTTTCACTGATCTCCAACACCATAGCATTCAACTTCAAAATGCTGCTACAAAACATGTTTCAAAAGAGAAACGTCATTGCTTATTAATATTATTTACAATAATAACCGCGACTAATAGGCCCACGATTGAGAGAGCTGGAAACCAATCATGCTGAATATGTTTCCAGATGTCCCACAGGCTGTCTGCGTGTGCTAAAGGATCTACAGCAAACAGATCCAGGATTTATCTTCAGCCGCTCATACGTTTGGCCGCTGTCCGTTTAGTTCAACACATACAGAGCTTCTTCGTGTTTGTAAGCAACAACTTTAGTTAAACTTCTGAAAGAGAAACGACTTTCATCAAATCACCACAGACAGGCCTACTGGACTACTCTAAAGTGAAGGGAGAAGTTTTTGGTTGTATTGGTCAGTAACTCAACACTGTAAAACATTACCGTGAATTTAACGGTAAAAGACTGTAAAAATGCTACAAACCTGTTTTTAAGTTCCCCTACTATACACAGTGAAAAACTGTATTGGACATTACATGTGATTTTACAGTAGTATACCGTTTTGGAAGTAAAAAAGACTGTATAATTTACAGTGAATAACCGTAAATTGCCATTTCCAGAATTCCCTGCGTTACATTTCAAATTTGATGTTTTTTGTTGAAATAACTTTTTTCTTATCAGTTTTGTAAATTAGGGTTGTATGTTACACCGTATGTTGTTAAAATAATGTTTATTGCTTTATTTCAGTTTCACGTGTGTTACCGTGATGGTGTTTAGTGTTTGTGTGAACGACACTGTGCACCTTCTGTATTTGTTATTATTTGGTTCATCGTGTGACTTTCTCATCAGCACCTGCTTTTGGTGGTTATCAGCGTATTATAAAGGTACAAAACGGGTTGGTATATTAACATTGTATCAGTTCATGAAATTACGGTATTTAACTGTAAATGTAAGTTAAAACCACAGCTGCTGTTTTTTTACCGTCAATTTTACAGACTGAGACGATCACCTGAAAAGCATTTGATTGAGCAGCATGACTAAACATTCATAACATCTGAATCGGTGTAAATGTTTTAGTTCAGTGTGAACTAATGTTTCTCACACGGATCTCCTGAATGCTTTGGATTCAGTTCATCTATTCTGCTCCTGGTTGTATTTGTTTCCGTGTGTGGTATTGGCATATATGTGACCTAGTAAAAGGCCATTTCTAATTTTCACACATGTACAATCTTAATTACTTCTTAATTTCTGATTGTCGAGTTGATTGCACAGATTATATTTGAACTAATCTGAGCTGGATGAAGACATCATTGCATCAACAATGAACTGACTTGAACTGAAATATTGACTGTTTGCTATTGTACTCTTTTTTTGAGCTGCTTTACAGCAGAGCTGAATTTTGTTTGCACTATTTTCCTATTTAACTCCGTAAAACGGTTTTGACACAATCTGGACTGTATAAAGCGCTATAGAAATAAAGGTGACTTGACTTGACATTCTCCAGGTGGATGGAGATCAAAGTAAAATATACACAATAATATGTTTATGTTAATAATATCTATATGATGATTTGTCTACGACATTACATGTAGCAACCGTACATGTCAACAAATATATATTTTATTTATATATGCAACTTAATTAAAGCTACATATATACAAAAAATCTGTATGTTTATGTATGCTTTTGTAATCATTTTTAAATGTCTATCTTTTGTATTTACTTATATACAGCATACATATATCAACATGTATTGATGGGTTTTAGGATGGATATACATGCGCATGACATATCTACAATAATATATTACTTGCACATAAACATACATATTTGTTGGTGTTATATGTATGA